AAAAAATATGAAGAATGACTAAGACCACAATGCAATAAAAGGGATTAGAAATCCAAGATTATTTCCATTGTGTTCTAATTTGTTTTCCCTAAGCATGACTACAGTTATCTCTGACAAGTATTTAGTGCATCCCATGTGCTATTTAGCATCTGATGTAAGCATCAGATATATACAGTTTTCCTCACCTAATTCCAGAGCAGAAATAAAAGGAAAATACAAAGTTTATCCAAGCATACTTCAAACATTATTATGCAGAACACGCTGAATTTTTACTTAAAGGAGATGAAAGAACCACCCTACAATACCAACCCAAACCTTTCCCATTTCTCCCTCAAGCTCCTACCTTTAAAAAAGACTCCTTTGTGTTAAATTTATGAATGAGGTTAGGGCTTACAAAAGTCAAGGATTAATAACATTTGCTTGAGCCAAAAACAGTATGATAGGCACTGTGCACGCTCCCCTCCAATCCATCTTAAGTCCAAGCTCCAGTACCCCTGCTGCTTTTCCAATCCGAGGCCTCTCACAGGCAGAGGCTGCCAGTGGAGTTGAATGGTGCCAAACTGTCTGGTGGTTTTGCGATAGAGCCAGATGGGGACTATGGTGAGATGAAGCTCATTTCCACCCATGAGCTGAGCAAAGATGTGAATTTAGGAGAGAAGATGGAGTAGTGGGCCTTTTAGTCCTTACCAGCCACATAATGATAATGGAAATTAGAATAAATTGGGGTCTCCCACCCCAGACAAGTTCTGCACAGAGACGTCCCACAGAAAGGTTTGTTGAGTGAATGTCAAAAAGATCCATACAATAGCAAAAGTAGTATTTATAGTTGATTTTTTGACTTGCAAAACAGAAGGACTGTCAGAATGGAATGCAAGACAACACAAAGAATCTTTGGCCTAGATTTTTTCAGGGAATTATAGAAGGCAAGGTATATGTATTAAACAAGCAGAGTCTAAATGGTTTTAGATTTGCCACGTTAGCTCCTACAATGCCAATTTAAACTATCACTTTCTATTAAAAAAAAAAAAAAAGTTTAAATTGGGTCGTATTCAGTTCTGATTTAGAAACTCAATAGAAACCTAATGTTTAAGTCACAATTGTAGCAGCTGAAATGGTATTTAAAGTTGTAGGCATCCTGACCCAAACAAAAAGGGAAAAAGGAAACCCTTTCCTTTAAAACTATTAGTGTAGACGTGGCTTTACGGATTGCATCAGCTACTAGGGCTCCAATTTGAGCTTGTTTTTTTTTTTTTTTAAAAGATATATATTAGCATTACAATGGAGAGAAAATAGAATTCTGTTGTGTTTAAAAAGTTTAATCTATGTGCAGAAGCACTAATCTTGACAGAAAGCTAGATGCAGTTAAAACAAGTTCTCTACCCATTTTTAAGTAACCCAGTATGTTACAGGAAAAAAACCCCTAAACCTCCAAGCAATGTGTAACACTTTTAATTTGTAAAGCAAAATTTTTATACCCCAGGTAAATGCACTTAGTTTCCAAACATATTCCAAATTTAGGTATCAGTACTCTCACTACATCACACCAAGTCCTAGAATCCACATATTTTTTCCATTTTTATTTAAGCATGCTTTTTACCATATGCAATGTATTTAGTATTTTTGCAAGTTTTTCTTTTTTAACTGTAAATTTCACTATCCACATTCTGCTATTTTTGCTCAAGAAACAACCAAATAGGAGACTCATTGCACTTTCCAATGTGATGGGGAGTAAGTAAGACAAAATGCTGTAATACACTGCCTGTCCAGGGGGCATCAGGTGATTGTTCTCTGCAAACCCTGAGTATCACAAAAATTATTAAAGAAAAGTCTCTTTTAAAGAAAGAGAAAAATCTCTTTTAAAAAAAGAAGTGTGACTTTTTACAGAGACCTATAGTGAAGAGTTAAAAACAGTTTTATAAAATGTAGTTCAGCAACATTCCATTGCTTTTACCCATAATCTTCTCTAGTGTTTGCTGAAATCAATGCTAGTGAAGCCAAAGAACATATTCCAGAATTCTTCCCAATTATATGCTGGATTGGTTTTCCAAAATAGTTTTCAAATACATTGACTCTTGAATCAAAACATGTCTAATGTACAAATTAAAAATATGCATGTTTCAGCATCTGGGATAAAATCTAACCAAAACATAAGTATAACCCAAATCCATCCTTCACAAAAAAACAAAAAACCAAAATCAATGTTGTGTTGAAAAATGTGATTTTCACTGCTTTTTGAAACTCTGTTGAACAGACGTGAAGAATGTATACCTATGGATCTATTAATTTCCATCAAAAATGTGAGGAGGTATTCCTGACCTGCAGTTTATCTTGCCAAAGCCCCCAGCTTTGCAGTTATATCATCAAACCTGCTTTTACTGGCATGGCTACTTTGACAGAGAACATTCACTGTGCATGTGCAAAGTTATCCCAGAAAAGACAGGAGCTCAGAGTATGAAGTACATCCACATTAACAGTATTTTGCCAGAAGAGCACATCAGCCAATCCTAGGAGGGTGTTGCCAAGCTTCAAGCTTTTCTTTGATTTCATCATCAGCACAAGAACCTGCAGGCAAGTTTTGCACTGACAGTGCAGTGGCAGGTTAGAGATCCACAGAGGCTTTCTCTCAGCAGCCTGACTTTCAGCCAGCACATTCCTCAGCCTCTGTGTGGGCAAAGAACCTGGTTTCAGAATCTTCTCAGCAGATCTGCATGCCCATAACCACCCAGCTATAGGCCTCATTAACAAGGATGCTGAATTCCTCCCCTGCTGCCAGAAACATTTTGAATTCTTATCAAAACATATATGCATATAAATATACATATAAAATATGTTTTTATATATATAAAACATATATATGTGTATATGTATGTTTATATATATAAAACATATATATATGTATAAATAAAAAAAACATATACATTCAAGTTTAATTACTTTAATGTCAGCCATTCAAGTTTGGAAGTTCTAGGCTTTGCTTTTATTTTCTGTGAAAGAAAGGAAGACAACGGTTACAAAACCATTTCAAAAAAGCATAATGTGGTTTGTTCTTGAATACCAAAACAATATGAAATAAGTCTGTAAATGCTTCCTTATTTCGGTTTCAACCAATGACATGCATCACCACAAACTTCAGCACTGCTGCAAACAGTGGCAAGCTGCTTAGGAGCATCTGTTTTATTTTACTGTGTCAGTTAGGGCTGTTTATCAGCAACAGAGGCCTATACACAAGTTTGCCAGTTAAAGACAAACAGTGTGGGTATTTTATATTCTTTGGATATACAACTTTTCTGTTTTGCTAAAAGCCACTTCTAAATCAGCTCATGCATGACTCTACCTGCTCTAGAAAACAGCAAGAGTAACCTCAACTTAAAAAAGAAAAAAAGAGAGTGAAATAAATTGTTTATTCACATATTTTAATAACAACAGTATCTTCCCATCTGTTTAGCGAAGCACTGAAATTCGAAATCATAAGATAAAAACAAATTCCTTCATTTGAGTCAGGAGACGTTGCTGGTTAATAATTCATACATTGTTTACATCTGTAGTTACCCAAAGAAATCAGAACAAATAAGAAAAGGACTGGACCTCAGGAAGTGCAGTAAGATGGAAAAGTCAAGCACTGGCCAAGCAGATATGGTCTGACGTGCTCTGGCTGCATACAACAGAAGGGAGAGAAATCATTTCCCAGAGGAGCAGCTCCTCCTGCATTTCCCCAGCATCTGCTGTGCTGCGAGGGAAGCAGTGGAACCTCTCAGCGAGTGCGATGTGCCACTGATAACTCTAGCATCACTTCAGCCTGTCATCAGTAAAGTAACAAGCACATTATTTACAGAAAATGGGATTCACTCCCTGCTAACCCAGAACATACTGCTTCAAAAGCTTCCACTCACAAGCTTGATTTTTCTGTAACACAGCGAGTACATTCACCACAATCTCTCAGTTGCTTTTCCTGCCCAAGTAGACCATAAAAAATACATGGTCAAGGAAAAGTTTTTTTTTTTCATGTACTAGTGAGTGCCAGACAAAATCTGCTATTATACTTGTTTATACCCTCCAAGAATTTTTTCCTGATTTTGAAACCTCTGTACCTCAAAAGTCTATGTCACAATTTCCTTTTCTGTTCAGCATTCATCCACACTTATGCACAAATTCAGAAAGAAACTCAACCCCATCACCTTTCAAGGAAACATTTTCCTAACTTAGAGCCACAGACACCTTAAAAAATTGTATTAAGAAAAATTAAACACCTCTGAAATTTAGTATTATATATTTAATATATGTTACATACATAATATATGTACTTAATTATATATTCCATATTTAATATTACCTTTGTATACCTACGGGGGTAGGTGTCCAACTTTTATCCTCTAGGTTTGACTGCATAAACTTTCAAATTCCTGCAGGAAAAAAAATTTATCTACACATCCATCTACCACTGAATACACAGTGTCATTTAATAACAAGACTTGAGCTCACAGCAAATGCTGAACTCAATTCTCTTTGAAACAGTTGGGCCAGGATTCAAACAAGAAGTACGGTGCATTTTCAAATTCCCAGTGGTTTCTCCAGGAACTGAGGATCTTTGACATCCTACTTGCAAAAAAGACTGACCACTTTCAGTAATGAAACCCGGCATTAAATACAACACGGCATTTTAATAGTTAATATGTGGGAGTTATTATGGGTAGGATTGTGATCTGGATCATGACTCTCTAATTCCACTACAACACACATTGCAGGATCATCTTCTATTTATATGAAGGAAATTGAAAGCTACTGTGAGGACAATACACAAATTTCAAATAGAGGCTGTGACTTCTGGGAATCATTTAGAGTCTTAAAATCGCAGTTTCTGGACAACAATGCATGGTTGAGCTTCAGTTTTGTAAAAAAGCATATAAATGAGAAAGAAGAAAGAATTGTTAAGACAATTTGTACTAATACCCAGAACTGTATTTGATAGCACTGGAACAGAGTTACAATATATTAAATGATACCTGGCAGGAGCCGTTGGGTAGATTACTTTTATATGTTGGAATGCCATGTCTTGATTCAAAATTTGTTTTATCCATGCTCTTGCTCCTTGACCAGTATCACCTGTATCACATAGAAGAGTACAAAAATTATTTAGCAAGAAAATTATACAATGTCAAATATACTTCAGGTTGACTTAATTTCAAATTATGAAGTTAATACACTAAAATGCTAAAACAGGACTTTCTAGAACAACTTCAGTCCTCTTTCCAATGGATTCAAAACTTCCTAGAAAAAGACTACTTAAGAGATGCCACAACGTAAGTTTAATCAATACTTTACTACATCTCCCAAGCAGACACAAAGTTACTTGTGTCTTACTCTCTTACTTACAGTTTACCATATTTGCTCTTAAGTGATAAACAAAAATCTTGATGAACATCTTAAAAGGTGAGGTAAAATAACTGTTGCTCCCCTTAGAGAAGTTAATTACTTTTACTAGAGAATTTTATGTTAACCCACTTCAGAACCCAGTAAAAAAGACCTTCAGATTTAATTATGCTAACACTGCACATAGGCTTTACAGGAAAAGACAATTGTAAAGAGATAGGTTCAGTTAAAATATCTAGCAGACTCTTAAAGACATTTTAACCACACAGTTCTGTTTGAAAACTAGTTGAGATCCGCTCCAAATCTGTTTTTTTCCTGCTCTTACCAACACAGACTATTGCCAAAACCTCTGCAGACTGAAGTACTACAAACAGGATGAATTCTTCTGTAGATAGCATTTGCTTCTTTTAAATAAATATATATATACAACAGACAGTGTCTACAGCTTGTCTTTGCACCGCTGGTATCTTCAGCCATAATTTCACTGCCACCCCTCTCAAGAGCAGGCACAAATAAGGCCTCAGTGTAATACAATACTTCAAGCTTGAACAAATCAGTCCATCAAGGAATATAATTTAGTAGGAAGGATGCTCAACCTAAAAAATTTAGTGGTGGCTCAGCAAACTGGAATTTTGCTACTGCCACTCATGCCATAGGACTTCAGTCTTGCTTGAAGTTGAGGTTCCCACACATTATCAACTCAAAATGCTAATCATCTCTATTATTTTAGCTCAAGTTGTTTGGTTTGACTTTAGAACTCACCCCATTCTTTTCAATAAAATGGCCAAACCAAAAGAAACAAATACCACTGTCCTTAGCCAAGCTTATTGGCACATTACATGGGCTCATCTGAACAATGTCACATGAATATACCAATCCATTGTAAAAATTATTATAATTCCCCAATAGAGAAAATCTGCTCTTAAGCACTCTAACAAAATTCAGATGGTTTTTATTTAAAAGATAATTAATGTATCTTCAAAATTAAAACAGAAGGCAAGTAGGATTCTAACCCAGCAATTTTCTTCCTGTTAAGCACAATTAGCATAACTAGAACTAAGTGTTCTCTGACCTAAACACTCCACGTGACCAAAAACAGGGTTGCAAAACTGACACAAATCTTACCCTGTGCTAAGTTAAAAAGTAAAATCAAAGTTACTTCCTTAACTAGATGCTTCAGAACACACCCCCACAAACACTTTGCTTATGCAAGTACTGTGATCTGAAATCCAAAAGCACCTCTGATTCTTCTCAGACACTTGACACATAAGGGTTTCCTCAAGGCTCTCGTGACCTCACTTATAAGCAATGTATCTTAGAGAGGCTTGAACTAACACTTTTTTTTTTCCTATACACTGGAGCTTTTTTTTTTTTTCCTTTTTTTTTTTTTTTTTTTTTTTCCTGGTGTTTTTGGTTTTTTTTTTTTTTTCAGTTAGAAAGCCAAGGTCTAGGCCTTGCAAATACTTGCACGGAATAAGTCTAAGCCAACTATCTGAATGATTACAGAATTGAGACTTACGTCTTTACAAATTCCTTAATGATGTAGGATAAATCATTATTCTACTATTTATTCCCACATCTTAAACTTCATAAAGATCTTCAGAAACCTCTACTGTTATTGAATTCATCCATGAATAGGTCACAGAAAACTCAGTAAGAGAAAATTTAACTATGACCTTCTGTGTCAAGAACTGCCATGGTCCAAATGCTACTCTAATTTGAGCACTTGTGCACTCAGATAATGTATTTTGATTTGCTAGGAACAGAACTTGAAGGAGAGGGAGGAAAAGAGGAGACTGTGACATCAAACAAAAGCCAAGAAACCTCCTGAAATTCTAGTCTTTCAGGGTCTTTTAAAATTTTAGCATTATATGTTCTGAACACTACAAAAAGAAGCAAATCATGGGTGATTCTGCTTTGAGTCAGTTTACAAAGTGAAAAAGACTGATGGTAGCTATATTATCTTCTTCTCCCTCCTTAAGTAAAATATGACCTTCTTTCCTTTCAAATATAGGCTGTATTTCCAAGTTTTCTTTCTATGCAAAGTTTAAATTTAACATGTAACATGTACACTGGACATTAGGAAAAACTTATTCACCAAAAGGGCTTTCAAGCACTGGAACAGGCTGCCCAGGAAAGTCACTGAGTCACCATCCCTGGAGGTATTTAAAAGATGTGTAGATGTGGCACTTAAGGACATGGTTTAGTGGTGGACTTGGCAGCGATGGTTAATGGTTGGACTTGATGTTCTAAAAGGTCTTTTCCAGCCTATGATTCTGTGCTTGTTACAATTTGCAAAGCTGTAATCCTCAGCCTAAAAAGCTATTACATGCTTGCTATATTCATTTGCCCTTCCCTGCCAAGCTACCTAATGGAACCTCTATCTAAATCTGATGTATAGTACCAGCGTTGTTCTAATACTTTTCTGTACCATTTTGCATTTGCATTCTGCACTTTTTATAGTTTGTCTAGAGCAAGCATTATGTACAAAATGGATTCATGCCATTTGACCGCCACTTTCCATCACAAGTGCTGAACAAAGGTTTACGACTCAGGTTTACAGGTCAGCCCACAGAAACAGCACTGTGGTGACTTCTGTTTTAAATTCTATTCTGGAACTGCTAGAAACCAAATAAAACTACCCCATTACAAACATTATAAACAAAATAATATGTATACAAAAAAAGAAAATTGCAGAGTACTTTAACCACATGTGGAATCAACCTCTAACCATAATCTTCCCTTACTCCTCCAACATTACAGAAAATTATTTCCTTAAGCATTAAAGCATTAGCATTAACAAGAGAGCTGAACACAACAGCTCTTTCACTTTCATTCTTTTACTCAAAGAATTTTTTAAAAGCAAAATTAAACTAGATTATAAAAATGAAACTAATTTAGTAAGGACACAATCTTTGTTAAACTAAACAGAAGTACCAGCTATAAACAAAAGTAAGGAAAAAACATGGAAAGTGTTGATCATGTTTCTCAAGGCCTTGATCTAGTAAAGACCTAAGATTACTGGTTTTTTTTTTTTTTTTTGGTTTTTTTTTTTTTTTTTTTTTTTTTACATCCTGTGTACCTTGTGGCTATTTAACTCATTAGAAACAACTTTTAAGGAATTAAACCCACCAAAACACACACTCCCCTCCTGTTCTCAGACCAGTCACTGATGTAGGTAACTCCCCTCTGCAGAGTGTGGCTGTGAAGCCAGTCTGGACATGGACAGGGCCCTTCTGAACAATAAGAAGTCGTAAATGAACACTGGCTTTTAAAGGTTGCCAACAGTACACTCATGCCGATTCTAAAACAGCAAGAGACACTTCAACTGTGAAAGTCATTCTTCAAATGTGGCTACTCTCTGAGAATGGCAATTTAGGGAGTAACACGACTCCAGAAAACGGTACGAAGCATAAGGTCGGGTATCAGGAAAAGGATCTTCACCCAGAGGGTGGTTGGGTACTGGAACAGGCTCCCCAGGGCAGCGGTCACAGCACCAGGCAGCCTTTTCCAAGTCCAAGAAGCCTTTGGACAGTGCCTCAGGGACACGGCGTGACTCTCGGGGTGTCCTGTGCAGGGCCAGGAGTTGGCGTGTGATGATCCTGATGTGCCCCTTCCAACCGAGCACGTTCTGTGATCTCCCGGAACGTGTGTGTTCTCACGAAGCCGGTCTGGCGTGAGCTGGTCCCGGCCCAGTGGGATCCTCCCCGAGCACCCGCACACAGCTTTGCCGCCCACCGCCTCCACCTTGCGGGCGCGAGGAGGCCGCGGGGACAGGGTCACCTCAAAGCCCTTCCCCAGTCCTGGCGGCCGCTGCGGCCACCCCGTCCCGCTGGCCCCTCCCGCAGCACCGGAGGGGCCGACCCTGCCCGCTTCACCCGCTCCCCGGAGCGCCCCGTCCCCACGAGCAGTGGGCAAAGAAGGGAGGGAAAGCAGGCACCTGAGCCGTGCAGGAAGATGAGGGAGGCGGTGTGCCTGCCCGCTGGGGACACCACACTCCGCTGCAGCGCTGCGGGCGCCGCCATGCCCAGCGCTCTCCTCCTCCGGGCCAGCCCTGCCGGTTCCGGGCCGGCTGTCTCCCTGTCTCCGCCCCCGCTCGTCTGCTGAGGCACCCCGGGATCTCCTGGCACCGTGCTGGGAGGGTTGTCGCTCCAGGTTTGCTGCGCTGGGTCAGCAAAGCTTTACAGGCACCGCGGACTGGCTCCAGACGCCGTATATTTAGCAGTGTCCTGTCACAGGGACCGGTCTGCCCCTTTTGTGTCACACGTGAGAGAGAGAAAGCCTTGTGGGCGTGTGTCCCAGTGGACTCCCTGCCTTTATTCGAATAAAGTTGCAGGACTCCTCTGTCTCCTTTTTGGACGTGAACCTCTGGCGTTTGTGGATTTTCCTAGCGCACGTGTGCGGGGAGGTGCGGGGCTGCAGCTCACCAGGAGCAGCCCTTCAAGGGCAAGGCCTGGCTGCAGGAGAGCCGAGGGAGGCGGGTGGCACTGGTAGCTCCTTCGAGCCGCTGCAGAGACTGAAGGATCTGCAAGGAGCATCATGAAAAGGTCCCGCCGACATTTGAGAACTTGTCCGACCTTAATCCTTGTCTTAATGCAACTATCCTGATGCTCTCGCTAGTCTCTACTGAACTGCCACAAGAGTGTAAGGAGTAGGAGCTTACTTTTGCACTTTTAGGTAGTCTATACACGGTCAAGGTCATATTTCACACCTCCCCCCGCCCCCGCCACCCCTAACTAGTGCTCTGCAGATTAGCCACCTGCTTTAGCGCTTTGAGGTCTGCAACTGTGGGACAAGGATGGCCGGCTATAAACTGCACTGTTGGCATTTCACTAGCCAGGTGCAGTGCGGCCCGGGGTGAGCAGCGAGTGCGCGGATTAATTTTGTAGCTCATCACAATGCGTTTTGGCAAGCCATAGGGGCTCACCTGCTAGTTCTTAAAAATGTAATGAAACCCTAGCCTCTTGAGGTAGCATGTTATTACCTTCAGAATGGCCTGTGGGTTAAGTAGATGAAACATCAGTGTGTGTGTAGTATGAGGAGCATGCTGTGCTTGTATTTCTGTTCAAATTACTGTCCTGACTACTCTATTCCTGTTTATTTAGGCCATGAAATTTTAGGGCACTGGTTATTTTGCCCCTCTAGAATTTATGCAGCTGTATTTTTAATATATCTGAAAGTGTTCTGCAGTGAGGCCAAGAAGTAAAGAGAAGGAAAAAAATCTGATAGTTGGGGAAATGAATAAATTGCATGGTGGGGAAGGAATGAAAGGTATACCTAAAATTTTTTATAGTGTCAGTTGTCCAGTTGAGGAATACAAAATCTCAGCAGTGTAGTGCCAAAATTAGCAAGTCAGTATTGGTGGTATTTAGTAGCTAAGCCACACCTTTCTTTTCCTTTGACTTCCAGTACACAAAAACAATTTTGGTATTTGAGCCATTAAGCTCAAATTTTATTAGCTTAGAAGGAAATTTAGTTGTTATTATTATAGGACAGAGTCACTTATTTAATTATGCTTATTTGCAATATTTTAATTTGTCTTACCATCTTTCATGACCAATGTCATTTTTTGAGGGTTATTATTTGTGAAGAGTTACTAAACAAAGCTACATCAGTGATGTGTGGCTTTAGACACACTCTTCTACACAGTTATGGGAACAAACCATGATCAAGTTTTTTTAAAGCTTATAAATTCATTCCCTGCCTCTGAGTTACAAACTTGGAGGTACAAGATTTCTTTGTGCCAACAAATAAAGCTTGATGCCAGGAACAAAACAAAGAATAAAATATCACACTATGCAAAAACAGTACACAAGGCTTGGAGGATTTAGTGTATTTTTTTTTTTTTTAAGAAACAGGCCAGGCATAAGAACTTTCCTTTTTTTTTTTTTTTTTTTTTTTTCCTGACAGAAAACAAAGAACAAGCTAACTTAATCTTTCCCTGAATAGAGGGGACTACAGGGCTGGCTTCAGGGAAAATACAAATATTTTTTTAAAAAAGAACAAAACAGAGATCTACATAGAAACTTGTGAGAGAGTAGGAGATCTGAACAAACATAAATGGAAAAGTGGTGTGTTACAATTCGAATGACAACAAATATATTGCAATAACTTGTTATTTATACCTGAGGAAAACGTTTTCTTGGGTTGCTTTTGATGTTTATTAATTATATTGAATATTAAAGATATTAAATGACATTTAATGATTTATGAAATTCAATTAAATTTTTAAAAAACCCCCAAACCCACCTTTCATACTGTAATGGGTCTGAATCAAGTTCTCAGACTTGGCCAGTAGGTGATTCTATTGCTTCTGGGAGTTTTCTGTTGTTACAGGAATAAGAGCATCCTTCCCTGCCAGTTTTGCCTACTACCTAAAGGAGGGAAAGGAGGAAACATGCCTGAAGTGAGAACTAGGAAAGGGTTATAACTCTTTTCCTGGGCCAGAGCTGTAAAGCCGATGAAGCAGAGAGATGCAGCCCATATAAATCATGGCTCCTAAGAACTAGCCTTAATAACAGAAAGGACTCTCCTGAATGAATTAATAGTATGTTAATAACTGTAGAAGGTTATAGGCAATATGGAAATACCTTGCAAATTTTGTTAAACTAACATATGCCTAAGTTCTAATGCTTGTGGTGTTTTACAAGTCTTTCACTGCTGACATGTAACATCTCCAAAAGGAATTTATTACATTTCACAGTGTTAATAAAATGTGATCCCACACCCTTTAAAAACATATTCTGTTGCAATTGCTTCTCTTTTTATTTTTTCTGGTCTTTATGAAATAAATGGATTACATTGTGACTTAAATGTGAAATAAATATGGAAATGTAAATATGTGGCCATATTTAAGTTTTCCAAGGAAGTAAATGTTAAGTGTGAGCATTGTTTTGTTCCTTAGGATAGGCCCTTGCTCTAAGTGCTCACCGATTGGGTTCTGTTCCCTCACACTGACTCTGCTCAGAAAAAAACCAGAAGACTTTAATTTACTTGAAACTATTTTGATACTTTTTCTCATTTAAAACGGCTTTGCACTTTAGAATTTACTTTTGCTGAAAGCAATATGTTGCAGAGTAATTTTTATGTTCAGCATGTGTACATATATAACATCCAGAAAAACTGCTACAGCTGTATATGCAGAGCTAAGGCTCCTGCACTCAATATTGAAAAATAGTTTTGAGGTATTGTACAGTTACTGTTGGGTTTTTTTAATAGGTGAGTTAATCCACAGATGTCTCACTGGTGATTACAAAGAATTGTATCTGATTTCTATTTGGTTGTATTATTATAAAATACTTATGATTATATTTCTATGTAGTTATTATATATCTAGGTGATTTTGACAGAAGCAGGGATTGTGGTATGGAAATAAAAATATCAAATGTTTGAAACTTTTCAAATCCCCCCTTTTTCTTTCTCAATAGTGTGGCATTATCATCATCACCATATCAGGAGATGGCATAATTGAGTGAAGCTACTTGTATTCTTCATTATTGAGCGTTAAAATTGAATGCTGAATTTGTCTCTTTTTACATTTCTTCCCTCTCCTACCCTTCTTCCAGGGCTCAAGGGTCTGTCCCCTCTTTTTCAGACCTTCATGCCAGTTCATGTGGTCTGATAGAAACAAGAAACTGTCCTCTAATTTGCAGGTGGTTTCATGTGGTTTCCATTGGAACTTGGTGGCAGTGCTTTAACATAGAATTTATATTTTCATGTTTCTGCTTTCACTATACATCTTGGCATAGTTTATTCTGAAAAGTTCTTGTCAATAGCTCTTTGCACAACTGCCACAATACAGGTAGGAAGTGCCACAGAAATTACTATTCAAGCACACAAGCTAGTAGTCCATTTATCCTGCAAAACTAATCATACTCAAACCCAGCCAAACAAAAATGTATTTCCATTCATACTTTTTAAATAGTTGAGTCTTTAGCAAATGATCAACTTTCAAAATACATAGATTTTGAAAAGTTGTTTTCTGTCCAGTCAGGAGTATGTTTTGGAGCTGCATTCTCCTGTTTCTTAGAAAAAAAAAGACCCACGGCTGGGCTGCATCAATAATATCGTGCATCATTGGTACGATTTAGTGTGGAGTTCGGTAAGGGATATCAGTCCACAAGAGAAAAGCAAGCATGAATACTGTCTGGCATCATGAGATCTTGACCCAATGTTTCTAGTTACCAGAACAATGTAAACAATTAATAAATAAACAAATCATGTTCTTCTTGCCCCAAGAGGCAGTCAGTTTTTAGGGTCTTGAGACATAATCTTGCTAGCAGGAGCCAGATATTTACTGCATGCCATCCAATTTATTTAAAAACCAACAAGGGCTCTGTTGCAGGGACAACAGGAGGCTGTTCCCTTCTTCAGGAATCTGAGCTTGTACCTAGCCAACAAGCTGCCAAAACAAACCCAGTCTTGGCTATGTTTGTGGTGCCTGTGTGTTTCTTCTGCTTGTTCTTTGCAGCAGGTTTGCTATTTCTGACTCATTTGGAAGTCCACTGTGCTGCATCTTCAGGCACCTTTCAGGTAAGCTTGTTGGTCCATCTTGTTTAGCTCAGAGCCTGCTAGAGCCTGGAGGGACATTCCTTGACCCGACTTCCCCAAAGAATTTCACAAACATGCTCAGGGCTTACCAAAATCATATTGACAGTGTTCTCAGCAAGTAGTGAAGCTACGTTCTATTAATATATGGACTAGTGGTGTCTGGCTTTTATTTAATGTGTTGGTGTGAATGGTTTTACATGGGTTTGAAAGTTGCTAGTAGAGCTGCTTTATGTATCAGACAGTATTTCAAACACTCTCCTCCAGGGTGGTGAACTCACCTGAACATGGGAGATCTTCTGTAGAAGATTGAAGTGCTGTGGAAGGATTTGGCTCCATGGGAAATGAAAGATCCTTCATCAGTTTAACCTGTTTATGTGGCAAGTTGGTTACACCTCATAGTTTTGTTGTGTTTTGGTATTTCTCTCAAGGACCAGTGTTCTTGCATATATGTTACTGAAGACAAATCTCAGGTTCTTGTTGCCTTAAAAGGACATAGACACTATAAGTGGAGAAAGAAGCTGTGAAAACATGAACCTTAAAATCCAGACATGCATGAAAACACTCCCAAGACTGCTATTTTAAGATTCTTAACATTTGGATTCAATTTTTTAAGTTCTGATTTGCAAAACAGAAGTTCTTGAAATT